CCCTGAGGGGGGGTATGGGGGACTTCGGTTTCTGGGGGTACAAAACGTTTACGGGGTGCTAAGAGTCTTTGGGGGGGTAGAATGTTTCCGAGTTGTTATGACGGGGGTTTTGGACCATTGGGGCCCCCCCCCCCCCCCCTGGGCTCCCCCGCCTCAAGTTTCCCCCCCCCCCCCCCCCCTTTTTCCTCTTCTCCCCTTCCGTCCCAGCTCCACTCATCCCTCTCTCGCCATCCCCTGCAGGTGCAGGGGAGATACGAAAGCAAACGAAGATTGATGGGCTTGCCCATCCCGGAGTGGTTCGACCCCACGCAAACCCGAGACGGTGACGGGCGCTGTCTCGGTGATCTCAGGCCCAGTGAGGTAGTGCACCAGACCTGTCCCGGATCCTGCTGAACAAGTTCCTCTTGTAGCTCGATCGGTCACACCGCCATCGCCGCCGACGTCTCCCAGTGAGATGATGGAGAGGGGGGACGACACTGCTCGATCTACCCTCTGGGGTCCCTCAGCAGCGTGCACCTCGATCCTGTACCGTGTTTGTTATGACCCCCCCCCAATGAACACACCAGTGAGGGTGGGCGAGACGATCGAGGGGTCCCGTACCATGCGGAATCGACCCTATCCGGTGCTCAAGTGCTCAAGGGGTCAGGGCTCTCTAGCCCGTAGCCCGATGCCGATCATCCGGCTCGCTGGGTGCGCTTCTTAGCTCCCCGGCCCTGGATGTGAGGTTGCCGACTGCACTCCAAGTGCTCCAAGCCCCTCCGTCCGACGCGCTCGTACACCTAGATCGCGGTTCGTCCCACGCCGGATGTAGATAGAGCTCTACAGCTCTACAGCGCTCCAGAGCGCTCTACATCTCTACAGCTCTACAGCGCTCTACACGCTACATCCTCTATACCCTCCCTCTCTCAGGACAGTAGACAGACGCTGCCGCACCAACCAAGAAAGAACCAACCAACCACAAGCAATCCGAGTTTCACCGGTGCTGTCGAGTATGTCCGACGCCCTCGTCTGGCCCGAGCAGGGGCGAAGGGGATCCGCACCTCGGACTTCGGGACTCGATGCGAGAGAACTTTTCCGAGAAGAGACACAATGAAAAAAGAATTCAAGTCGCAATTCATGCCCTTGGGCGCCGAGGCGTTGTGCGCGTCCGCCTCGGCGTTGAAGGCGACGAGGACGGCCTCGGGGACGGGCTCGGCCGAGAGGTTGGTGAGCTGTCCGCGCGCCTCGCCGAGCTGCGTGACCGTGTAGCTGACCTCGACGTCGGGCCGCGCCACCGTCATGCCCTTGGGCGCCGAGGCGTTGTGCGCGTCCGCCTCGGCGTTGAAGGTCGACAGCTCGTCGATCGGTGGCGGCGGTCCGGTGTCGCCGCTGTTGCGCGGACTGTGGCACGAAAGGTCGACAGCTGTCGACAGAGTCGGCGTCGCTCTCGGCATCACGCTCTTCACCCGCTGTGTGGACTGGACGGGCGAAAACGATCAACGAAAGCATTTGTAAAGCATATACAAAATTCTCTCTCTCTCCTCGCACGACACGGGCACCCTGAATGAAGAGATTTTCTTGAAAAGCACGTCTTGTCCTTTCGCCTGCGGAAACGACCAGGGCCCCCATTCGTGTCCCCGCCCGCCGGTCTCAACTCGATTCCAATCTGGCGCACGGACCCTCCGCTCTCCCCGCTCGGCACCGCAGCACCATGGCAAGCACCCCGCAGAAGGGACGCGCGCACTTCGTGAGCAGCCCTGCAGCCCCCATACTGCACCTCCATCCCAGGCACTCCTGAATCGCCGCACGCACCTCTGTCCACACAGGGCGAAATGGTGGAGACGCCGGGCGGCAAGCAGACGCCGAGCAGCAAGGCGTCCAAGAAGGTCAACGACTCTAAGTTCGGCGAGACGATCGTCGAGGAGGTGCGCTCCCGCTACACGGCCGCCCTCTCTCACCTTCCTGACCCCGCGTCGCGCCTCCTTCAGGTCCAAGTGAGCGTGATCGTCATGCTGACCGGCGTCGCCCTCGTCGACATGGGCTACGACAAGGAGCTGCGGGTGTGAGCCTCCCCCCCTCCCCTTTCCCATCTGGGCCCGTCCTGATCCCCAGTTCCCGTCGGAGTAGGACGCGCCATGTTCGAGATGGCCGACACGTGGGGGTGCATCAACACGTACCTGCCGCAGCATGTGACGCGGAAGCGGATTCTCGACTTTCAGGGCCAGACGTGGACGGACAAGCAGGAGACGGAGCGGCCCAACAAGAACTATAAGCGCGCTCCGGGCTGGTTGAACGTGCAGTACCAGATCAGGGGGTACATCATCCACCCCAACGACCTCGCCAAGGTGCGCGCGACACAGCTCCCGCCCCTGGCCGGATCTCTCCCCCCCAACACCCGCTACTGGCAGCCATCGGCGGACCTCCCACTCATTACCTCCCACGACTGCTACAGATCATGGACCAGGTCGTCAAGAAGATCCCGGGCTTCTCCCACGAGGTCAACTACTTCCTCCGGCGCGAGACGGAGACCGGCACCTTCGATGAGGCGACCACGCTCGGGGACATCGACAACCTGGAGTTCCAGATGGTGCTGCCGGCCGCGCCGGACGAGGCGGCGGGCAAGCGGAAGCTGGCCGACCTCGAGAGCCGCCTCAAGAAGGCGGAGGAGGCGCTCGCGGAGGCGCGCGCCGCCAAGAAGCCCGCGCCGGCCGCGGCCAAGCCCGCGCCGGCCGCGGCCAAGCCCGCGCCGGCCGCGGCCAAGGCTTAGCGCGGCGTGCAGGGGAGTAGGAGGGTGACTGCCACAGTGTCTACTGTGTATGTAGCAGTACCTATACTACCATACCCAAAACCTCCCAAAAGAAAGAGTTCGAGCGGCATGGTTCCTGGTACGAGGCTCGCACTCGAGGTCTCGCGGGATCGTCGTTCATCATCGCGCGCCGCTGGGGCACTCTGCACTCCTACGACTGTAGATCGCTTACACACACGGCACGCAAGCGATCCGGCCAGCGGCAGCACGGCAAAGCGTGCCCGCCTTCCCGCCTGCGCCAGCCCACCTACGACAAGGAGAATGCCATCCGCTATCCGCTTGCGAACGGCAAGGTGAGGCTGCAAGCCTAGTAGGCCAGGTATCGATAGGTAGGTAGGTAGGAAGGCTCGGACTGGACCTGCTAGAGGGACTAAAAAGAAAATGAGACCGCCGAAAATCATTGCCCGCCGTGAGATGAGTGAGCATCCACCGGTGGGATGTCGGCATCCCCGGTGTCCAGTCAGGTGTGGGCTGGCCGGTGCGGATGTCACGCAACGTGCAATCACCGCCCCACTGCCCGCGCTGGAGATGGCGTTCTGGGCTGTGCTGATTGCGAACCAGACTCAGGAGCGAACGCCGCCGACCCAGAGGCAGAGCGCCCCGACGCTGTCATGTCGGATGTGTGCTGCTCACCGGTCGACGTGGGTCCGGAGGCTGCGCTCCAGCTACTTGCGGACGCGCTCCGCGCGCGTCACAACCCTCCGCCGGGGAAACGCGCCGCGCCGACCAATGGCTGGCAAGCTGAGGACGAGCTAGAGCTCATCATGCGACGCTGGCGCGCATCGCTGGTCGGCAGCAAAACGAGCATCACAGTCGGAAAACGCAAAGCCGACGCGTGCAAAAAGCACTCCCAACGACTCAAGAAGTACCTCCAGGAGACCATGCCGTCTCGAGTCGTCGAGGACATCTGGAATGTCACCGCCGCGCAGCTGAGTCCCGACCCCGTGCGCGTTGCAGTGATGGAGTGCACGGACCCCGAAGAGCAGCCGAAGAGAGCAAGCGCTCTGCGGCGCTGAAGGCGCGAATGGAGCGGCGCGGCGACGGCGTCGACGACTCCCCAGCCTCGGACGACGATATCTCGGCGGCTCTCAACCAGTACCTCTCAACATGCGACCGGAGCAGCAAGGGCAGCGCCGAGCCGTGGACAGAGCACGAGGACCGGCAGCTGCTCCATGCCTTCTGGATCTCGCTGGAGGTCCCCACTGCTCCGCTCAAGTCGGCGATGATCATGTCGGTCTCGAGTCGTCCACGCAGTGAGAAAGCGGTAAAAGTGCGTCTCAACCAGCTGCGCTCGCGCCTCCCTGCCCACGTCGCTGAGCGGGCGCTGCCATCTCGCCAAAAGCAGCTCCAGACGTCGCGCTGGCTCGAGCTGGCGGAGCGATGCTGCAACCCGCAGACACGGCCGAGCGGGCCGCTGCAGAACAATGCCGCCATGGCCAAGGCGCGCACCCCGGTGGCCCGCGCACGCACGCCGTCTGAGCCTAGCGCAGCGCGAACTCGCTCTGAGCCTAGCGCAGCGCGAGATTTGCGCAGCAACCCGGGCAACCCTTGAAAAAAAGTAATAGTGTGACGCCTTCGAAGCAAAAATAAGCAAAGGGGCTCGGCGGGAATTCTTTAAATGCGACCGTCCTCGCAGCCGACAGTCCACCGCCTTGACATCTCCACTGCCACTTCACCCGAGTCATTTCCCGACGATCTCACTGGGAGAGCGAGGGAGGCCACCTCCCATTCTTGTATCACGTGGCCCTCCCCGTGGGACAGGCCCGGTACGGCTAGCATAACCGCGATGTCCTCCCGCCATGTCTGTCCCAGCTTGGAGTCGGCTGCAAGCCCGCACCGCTTCATCCCTTCGGTGGTGTGTACATCGATAACAGCCCCGGTCCCAAATGACCTGGAGACGGCAATCTCATCAATCATGACCACCGCTCCCCCGCCCTCCGACGCCGCTTGCGCCCATCTGATCGCCCGCAGCCTGCACCTCGTGGCCCGCAAGAGGCAGCCCCCCCGCCATAGGCGTGTCACCTCGCCCCCGGGGTCTCCCCCAGCCGGGTTGAGGGCAGTCATCTCCCCCCCCAGCCGCAGCTGCTGGGATAGCGAGAGGAAATTTCAACGAAAGCATTTGTAAAGCATATACAAAATTCTCTCTCTCTCCTCGCACGACACGGGCACCCTGAATGAAGAGATTTTCTTGACAAGGTCTGTGAACATTCAGTCGTTCTTCATGTCGTCTGTGAGGTCATCCAGCTCCGCGCTACTGCTCAGCCTCGCGCTGCCGCTCGCGGCGGGTTTCTCCGCCACCGCGAGGCCGCAGCTGACGCGCGGCGCTCTGGCCAGCGGCTTGAGCCACGCCGCGCCGGCGCAGCTGGGACGCACGGGCGGCGCGTCGATGCTCGCAGACGGCTTCGCCTCGCTGCTGGCGGATGCTGCCATCCTGCTGCCTGACGACGCTGCCGCCTCGGCTGGCGCCGCAGCCGCCGAGGCCGCGCAGGAGGGCTGGTTCGACCTGTGAGCTGCCACCCGACGCGATACGTCCAACTCCCTTCCGGCGGTTTCCCACCGCCTCTGTCTGCGCGCGCAGGATCGTCATCCGGCCCTTTGAGTATGCGATCGAGCAGCTGGCTAGCGTCGCCGGCTACGGCCCCGCCATCATCATCTTCACGCTCGGTGCGCGCTCCCCGCGCGCACGTTTCCCGCCGGCGTGCAGCCCGCTCAGTCCCCGCGCTCGTCTCCCGCCACGCGGCCGCAGGCATCAAGCTGCTGCTGTTTCCGCTGACCAAGCAGCAGATCGAGTCGACGCAGAAGATGCAGGCCATCGGGCCGGCGGCCAAGGCGCTGCAGGAGAAGTACCGCGACCGCGACCCCGCCCGCCTCAACGTCGAGCTGCAGAAGCTCTACCAGGACAATGAGGTGAACCCGCTCGCCGGCTGCCTGCCCGCCTTCGCGCAGATCCCGCTCTTCATCGGGTTGTACCGCTCCCTGCTGCTCCTCGCCAAGGAGGACAAGCTGGAGCAGCCCTTCCTCTGGCTGCCCTCGCTTGAGGGACCTGTCGCCGACTACCAGCAGGGCATCGGCTGGCTCACGGAGTGGGTCAACGGCGCCCCGAAGTTTGGGTGGGCAGACACGGCCGCCTACCTCGTGCTGCCTGTGCTGCTCGTGCTCTCGCAGTACGCGTCGATGGAGCTGCTCACGCCCAAGTCGGACGACCCGGCCCAGGCGCAGTCGCAGGCCATCCTCAAGTTTTTGCCCCTGATGATCGGCTGGTTCTCGCTCAACGTCCCGTCGGGGCTCGGTGCGCGCCTCGCCCTCGCGCGCGCACGCACACGCCCGCCGACCTACGCTGCCCCAGCCGCCCCAACGCCGCGGACCCCGACCGCCCGCGCCGCGCAGGCCTCTACTGGCTCACCAACAACATCGTCACCACCGCCTCGACTCTCGCCATCCGCGCGATGGCGCCAAAGGTGGAGATCAAGGTGGCGGGCGGCAGCGGCGGCGCGGCGGCGACGATGGAGCCGACCGCGACCAAGGGCTTTGGCGGCCGGCGCTTTGGCGAGGTGATCGAGAGCGAGGGGGAGGGCGGAGCCAAGATCAAGATCAAGCCGCCCGGGGCGGCTGCTGTGGTCGAGGCGACGGTCGCAGAGTCTGTGACCGAGGCGACGGCGGTCGAGGCGACTCCCGTCGTGGACGCTGCTGTGTCGGAGGCGCCGAGGAAGACGACCAAGAAGAAGAAGAAGAAGAAGCGCAACTGATGTGCGGGATGGCACACGGCGGGCGTCGCCACCCCTACCTCGGCGACCGCAGCTCACACCTCCGTATCGGGACACGGCAGCAGGCCTCTCTGCGCGCCGCAGTGTACGTGTGCAGCGAAGGTGTGCGGTCCCTGTCGGGCTGCGCGCGCTCTCTCTCTGCTGCTGGGCCGGCGGGTGGGAGTTTGACGGGAGTGCTGGCATGTTCTCCATGACGTGGGGTGTCGGCGGCGGCACATGAGCACACGCTCGCTCGTTGTGTACGGGCGCGGTCTGTCTCTGTGGGCGCCCAGGGCGCCATATCCTTCTAGCAGCTTGACGATAGACATCGGACTCACTCACCCCTCCAGTCCGGCGGTACAAGAATCGCCGCGTGAGCGCTACGCAGCGCGTACATCCATACAGCCGCGGGCGCTGGAGCGTGGTCCGTGGAGAGGTCGGGGGCGGCGGCCGCCGCGAGACACGGCGCGTGTCGAGCCCTGTGCGCCGCCGCTACGGCTCTATAGAGGAGCGTGCTATGCGCGGTCCTTCCTTCACCATGATCTACTATTGCTATGCCGCCGGCTACATTGTCGCGATGTCGGCGCTCCCCGCACTGCACCAAGGCTGGAGCCGGCCGACTGCAGTGGCACCACTCACAGCCTGCGGATGGGAAGCGGTTTAGAGGGGAGACTGGTGCGGGGGCGGGCGGGCTAGCGCGCCTGGATGATGCGCGCCGCCTCTGCGACCTGCGCATCCTCCACCTGCCTCTCGACCCAGCGCTCAGCAACAGGACCCCCCAGCCATCCGCGACGCACGAGGAGGTCGATGGAATTGCGCACCTGTGAGCGGAGGGGCGGTTTGTGCTGAGAAGCAATGCGACGTGCTGGATGATAGGTCGGCGCGCACCTCGAAGCACGAGGTCAGCCTGCTCCCCATCGGCTTGCCAGTCACAGGGGAGCACAGGCGGGGGGGCGCCAAGAATTGGGCCTCGTAGATCCAACCGTGGATGGCTCTCCGCTCGTAGACGTTGCCGTCCTCGGCCCGCACTGGGTCGACGGGAAGCATGTTGGTGAGCGGGCACAGCCATAGGTTGCGCATTAGCGAGTTCCGGAGCGTCGCGAGCGCCTCCGATCCGAGCTCCATGAGATTCTGCCGCGAGGGGACAACACTTCCGTCTTCTATTCCCCTCCAGGAACGCCTCGTGCATGGGAAAAACTTTGGAAACTCCTCTTCGGCGCTCACGTTCGCAAAATTCTCCACAAACTCACGCGACTTTCTGCCGACCTTCGGGAATCTCGGCGTCGATGCCGTCCATCCCCGGAGCGGGAAATGTAGGGGCGAAATTTTTGCATCAATCAGAGATCTCTCTCTCTCTCTCTTGAGCACTTGAGCACTTGATAGGGTCGATTCCGCATGGTACGGGACCCCTCGATCGTCTCGCCCACCCTCACTGGTGTGTTCATTGGGGGGGTCATAACTAGGGTGGCGGCTGAGTGACGACGCGTGCCGTGAGAGATTTTTAGCAATACCTTTAGGATAAATTTCAGATTACCCGGTTTTTTAGATTCGCCTCGCAGATCACCCGGCGTTTTTCAGATCACCCGGCGTCTTCGATTTTTTGCCTCGCAGATCACCCAACACGGCGAAATGTCGTTTCCAGATTACCCAACACGGCGAAATGTCGTTTCCAGGTTACCCGCGTCGCGAAATTTCTTTTTCCAGATCACCCGGTTTTGAGATTCGCCTCGCAGATCACCCGGTGCGGCGAAATGTCGTTTCCAGGTTACCCAACACGGCGAAATGTCGTTTCCAGGTTACCCGGCTCGCGAAATTTCTTTTTCCAGATCACCCGGTAGTGGGATTCACGACTGCGTCATTCAAGCAAACGACTAACGAGGCCGGGGATTCCGAAAGTGGGAGCTCTCCTTAGGACCACGTGCCGCAGGTGCTCGCTCTCTGTCTGGACGAGGTGCACGCTCGCAATTGGCTGGCCTGCGCGCGCCGTGGTTCACGCTGAGTCCGGCCTTTGCGCCTAGCTAGGCAGCCGTCCGTGTCCGGGTAAGCTGAAGAGAAAAATATGTTAGCCGCCGGGTGATCTGGACGAGAAATTTGGCCGACCGGGTAATCTGACATGAGAAATTTTAGCGACCGGGTAAGCTGAAACATGAATTGTGGGAGACTGGGTAAACTGGTTTGACGGAAATCGCGCCAAGCAGGAAAATATCGTTGGCCGGGTAATCTGCGAGGCGAATCTCAAAAACCGGGTAATCGAAATTTATCCATCCT